AGCTATAGTCTTGTTTATATGTAGCACATATTCTGTGGACATATTGTGTTTGTGTAAGTGGTTTCACCGTTCGACTCTCATCTATGTGAAATAGACACTACACTTTATTTCTATGAACGCATTTAACATTCGCACAAACGGTGAAGAAAAACATCGTGAAACCGGCTTGCCTTAGACCCAAAAATGCCCAGTGTCAGACACAGGAGACTGATCACGTACTTGCCTAATTGATTGACAAATGAACATGAAATAGATACAGAGAAATCTGAGGCCCAGACCTAAAAAGGTTGTAGCACCACTGATTTTTTTATATCAGAAGTTTCCTTCAACAGTTATACGTAGGTAAGTGTAATGAAATGATATTGTATAACGATATTCAATTATTTGCATTGGAATGTTTTGGTCCAGGTTCATTACAAAGGTTGGGGTAGAAATTGTATATTTTATTTGAATAAATATAACTATTAGACCGACTTAAAGCATCTAAAACAATTATCCCTTTGAACAGTTACTACTATTGTTCAGTAATAATCTAATATGTACTTATATAAAATTCTCGTGTCACGGTGTCTTTCAAACCCTTAAATGTTAAGGGTGGTCCTAAATTTTTTTTAGACAATTTTTTTTTTGTTTTTATATTTTTATGACACATACAACCCTAAATTTTCCCCCCTCTACGATCAACCCCAATTTTTATTATAGTACATAGTTATTTTTATTCAACTAAAAAAATATTTCCTAGAAATAATGTACATGGCCAAAACAACGTTTGCCGGGTTAGCTAGTAATATTATAAATTCATTTGAATTATAGAATAAGCGTTGAACACCTAGTTGTAGGCTTGTAGTTGGTATGTATAGCCTAAGGAAGCAGTCACGTAAGGCGTGAACACGGGGTGAATGTGAGATGCCTTGTAATTTAGCCTCGCCGATAATTATTTACCCCAGAACCGAAACGAATCGCTGATTGCAACTTGATGCACTGCGCTAGCTTCGATATCACTTAACTTTTCTTTTATATTTTTTTTATATGGCGCCAGGTTTTCAGATTAATTACGCAAGTCTTTTCTACTTAAAGTATCTTGGTCCTACCAATATTTATCTACCGCTGTACCGTCACCAAAAAATTGTCTTCTCTAGCGGTGATTTTACGACTTCATCGCTGATGTTTGAATCTGATTTTTTATGGTTCTCATTATACTTGTTGGACGGGGACATTTTGTAAGGGGACGCTCTGGAGGCGAAGGGCTATTTTAAAAATACTTACTTCATGTGTACATATTCACAATATTTTATATTTAAATATCACTAGGATGATTCACTGTCCGCGTCTCAAAGAGAAGTACATTTTCATAACAGAAAACAATCATTTTAAATAAAATTAAAACAGGCATTCCAATATTCGAAACTAAAACTTTTTCTTCACATGTGACAAGTGTTGCCTGCCATTATTTACATATTCAAACTCCAATACTCGTATATAACTCTGGTTGTATCATAGCTCAATCAATCAAGAGGTATGACAAAACAAAAGAAAGTAAAGATATATGAAGGCCGGTAGTTTATGTAGACCAAACGCGGAGACCAATTCAGTGACTTTTTTTAATTTTGATACAATTAGTGGCTTAATTGCTATGTTTGTTTGGACTTTCGTATTCCATACGTATTATAACAAACAGAAATAAGATCTATTTCAAATATTAGGGTAGGTCACGTCACCAACTAAGCCACTATTACAATTTATTTAAAAACAATTGTAGAAAAGTGTTATTTCATTCAAAATTCAACATAAGAACTTTACAAACATCGTGTGTTCAACAATTCAATTCCACGAACAATTTAATAATATTCATATCCAACAAAGTAGCGTTTTTACTCTTCGCTAACTTCACGAATAAAAAGCGCAAATATTTAGCTGGAACACGTTCCAGTTTGTCAGTTGTTTTAATTCTGTTTTTAGTGTTCGAGTGATGACGGTTGTTTTGACTAATAGGGACGTTTGCGTGTAAACACCTTGGGATGCATCGCATCATTTATTTATCACTGTAATGCTACTGGACGTCCAGATACAAAATATTTCATATAAAATGTTTTGGTCAAGTTCCTTACGATGGGCATCGGTTGGGGCGGAAATTATTTATTTGAAATAAATATGGACTTGCGACTGAAAGTGGTTCTCAAACAATTATACCTTTAAACAATTACTACTGCTAATTATAAAAAAAGTGTGCGTACTTATGTACACGCGTTAGAAGTTATACTTCTTTGGCGTTACAAGTTAAAAATCTTTTTAAACATTTTATTCTACGTTTGTATAAAAAACCACACTAACAATAGAAAAAATTAAAATGTTGATAAAGCGCCCTAACGCGACAAAAGCAGTATAACTTCAATAATATTATAGATTCATTTGAAGGCAAAAAATAAGCGTGGAACGCCTAGTTGTAGGTTTGTGTTGTTAGGTATAAAGCCTAAGGAAGCAGTCACGTAAGACGTGAACACGGGGTGAATGTGAGATGCCTTGTAATTTAGCCTCGCCGATAATTATTTATCACGGTTTTAAGACAAATTGAGGTTCGTTTATGTTTAACAAAAAATAATATTTAATACATTCATACAATGGCTACTTAAACTTACTCAGATAGTCTATGTATCAGTTTAAATGTAGACTTAATTAAAGTGAAACAATTTAAGTAGGTACTTATAAAAATTGAATGCGTGCGAGCATAAGCGTAAATTTAATAAATTAATGTTATCTAACCGTTTACATTTTAAACATAAAAATTAAAACTTTTGTACAAGTATATCTTCATATAAAAAGAAATATTTAATATGTATAAATTCATAAATTTTTTACAAAAAACCATTTTACAATGATAACAGAGGTACTACTACCGCCATCTATTGCACTAATATAAAACTAACGCATACTTTAACAGAAATACGCGTTTACCATTCTAAGCATGTGGTTAATTTCCAAATTGATTCCACTTCATAAATAATTTCTTATTTCAATATCACCTAGAGTTTCTTGTTTATACAACAAAATGTTAAATAGCCTGCTTTCAATACGTGGGCTCGATATGTCAACTTAATTGATGTTAAACTAATATCGACGCTATTCTAAGGGATTAAAGGTGAATGTTCTATGAATGTTTTTTGTTTGAATAGTTAAGTGTGGTTCGGTGGGATTCGGAGCGGTTGGCGCCCCGCTGGGTAAGATCCCTAAAAACACACAGACCGCGGGGCGCCGCGCCTCTCACTAATAACACGGTCTTCCCTGTCATACCTTATTTCATCCTAACATCTCACGTTTTTTCCATGTCTTCGTTTTTTTAACAATAACAATAAAACGAGCGTTTGATGATAGTAATCCTTCATCCTCATTGTCTTTTGGCAGTTTCTCGGAATAAAATATGTTGTGCGCTTGAGACGTGATATCCGAATGTCATATTATAAATGGCATCATTTAAAATATTTTAATACCCTCTACATCAGGGCGATATTAATTTGGTACGGTTGAGCGGGCCTTGCCACTGGGATGTTAAATGACGGATTACCGCAGCCCAGATCGAAAGATAACTCAGATTCCGCAGGGTCTATCCTTATCCTTATACTTCAATGTCTGAACACCTTAGCATGACTTATCGCGTTGACTTTAAATTGATAATATAACCAATAAAAACTTATATTATGATTAACCGTATTCTGTTTTATTATGTTTTTTGTACTTTTACGAAGCAAACTATTTCTGTATATATATATATATATATATATATATATATTATATAGTAGGTATTTCCAATACATTTCGTTACCTGCAGTGCATAACTTATGCACTACTTAATAATTAATTAAACTCTAACTTGCCTATCAATAACTTACATTATAAAGAGGAAAGATTTGTATGTAAGTAGGTTTGTAACGAATTGGCTCAAAAAGTACTGAACCGATTTTAGAAATTCTTTCACCATTTGAATGCTACATTATCACTGATTAATAAATGCTATTCAAATTGCAAGAAAAAAATAAGAATCCATACTAAAATTATAATAATGTTACCCAAGGTGTAAAAAAACTGCCTATAAAATATTATTCATCGCATGCGCTGCGAAAACAATTGATGATAGAACAAAAAAATGTTCTACAATATTAAAGAACATATCAATATCTACAAAAAATTTAAAAAAAATGTCCATCCGTGTGAAGCCGGGACGGGCCGCTAGTCAATAATACAATAAATATTATCGATGAGTATTCACTATTCACATAGTAACTAGGTACCTACTTGGGGTATGTTCCGATATACACTGCGAGTACTGTATAGTGCCCCACTTCAATCCGCAGACTGCAGTATACAGCCGCAGCGTCCTAGGGAAATATATGACTCACAAATCCCCGCTTCTTCTACTGGACACTGTTTTCGAGGTAAGGTACTCGCAGTGCTTTGATCACGTGATCAATCAAAACCACTTGAATGCCTAACGGCTGATATAACTTACAGTTTAATAACAAACATTTAAAATTCTAATTAAAGAATTAGCTTGGACTAATTAATGAAATACTGGAAACCTTACGAAAATTGAGTTTATTAGACTGTGTAAGTAATACAGAAAGTTAATATAAGTTGAGTTATGATAAACAGACTTTTTCTAATTAAAAAATACTTACTTTCTTTTAGTATTTTCCATTGACAGTTAATATTAATATAGATTTTTTTAATGCGATAATACTCAATAATAGTTTTTCTTGTTGAATTGAAAACTTTGATGCACTCATTTGAAAACTGTGTCGAAAAACGAGCTGAATATATTGGTTCCGTTTTAAATTGTAACCATAAGCTGCTTAGAGAAACGTTTAAGTATACTAAATTAGTATCTGTAATTGGGTATATGAACCTACTTGGTAACCAGTGCACATTAATGTTGCTAGGCAACAGTATATTCAATAATTGAGATTCGATTTTATTTAGTTGTGCTTGTATTCAAACAAATATAAACTATGGTAAGAATTACAGTTGAAATGGTTCGTAAAAAGGCAGAACATCACGAATGCCTTCTAGCACCGCTTGAAGAAATAGCGTTACATCAAGAAAACATTGAAAAAATTGAATTCATCCAAGACTGGTGTCCGAAGCTTAAAATACTTCTGATGCAGAGCAATTTAATTGCAAAAATTGAAAATCTTAACAAGCTTAAACATTTAAACTATCTTAATTTGGCGCTTAATAACATCGAAGTAATTGAGAACTTGGAACGTTGTGAATCATTGCAAAAATTAGACCTAACCTTGAATTTTATTGGTGAAATTTTAAGTGTGGAGTCGCTGACTGGCAACTATAACTTAGAAAATTTATACTTAACAGGAAATCCTTGTACAGATTATGATAACTACAGAGATTTCGTTATTGGAACACTCCCGCAGCTCATATCCCTTGATGGTAGAGAAATTGAGAGATCTGACAGGATAAAAGCATTACAAAATCTTCCCGTTATACGCTCGGACATTTTGTTTGAACAGGAAAATTATCGTTATCAGAGAAAAGCTCAAAAATCAAGATTAGATCGTGATATAAAAAGTAAATGGGAGAATGAGTACAAAGATATGGAACCCGATGAGAGGAACAAGAAATTCTGGGCAGAAAAATGTGAACATTCACCTGAAGTACGGTATGAAATAGAACGTATGAGACAGTTGAAGTTGAAATCCTACGAGCCCGCTCCAAAAGAAGAGAAAAAACGAGTTTACAAGTACTTCGCCCCCGATGGACGACCTTTTAATATCAACCAAGCCAAAATAGACTTTCGCTTTGATGATTCGGAACCAGATAAATATGTCCTAGACCTGGCAGTGTACAAACATCTTGACACAAGTTTATTGGAGATTGATGTACAACCTAATTACGTAAGAATCACAATAAGGGGTAAATTATTTCAATTACATCTCCCAGAAGAAGTGGATATTTCTAATTCGATAGCACAACGTTCGAAAATAACTGGCCATATGGTTGTAACAATGCCCAAAGCTAATGTAATTGTCACCGATAAATCACAGATTAAAAAACCGATTAAACACTCACAGCTATACCACGAGCATACGATTGCAGACTGTGCAATAAAAACAGAACAGACGAAAAGAGAGTATTTAGAGATTGGAGCGTCTGATATTCTAGATTTTACGAAAATGACAGAATCCAGTACTATGCCTTCATATACTGATACTAGAATTAAATTGTCATCAAAACAGCCTGCTCCAGATTTCGTTGACGATCCTAATGTACCGGAATTGATATAAAATATTGTTTCATGTTTCATAAGTTCTCATTGCCGTTAAAGACGAATGTGCGCGATTCACGATTCGTGTATGTTTTTCGTACGGCTACTAATAGCGAATTACTTATAAAACAAACGCTTTATTCAATATAAATATTTATTTATAACTTATGTATTTATTTAGAGTTAAAGCTGACATTCAGATTACACATGTATGGGAAAAACTTAGATCTTTTATTCTTTTTATATAACATGATTATGATAATAAGGTTCTACAAAAAATAAATTATATATTAGTGGTAACTACATCACATATACTAACGAACAATAATATAAAAACAATATACATATCTTTTACACGTTTAAGAATAATCTGTACAAAACCAAACTATTTCGAGATAAACTATAATTGCCTTTATAAAACTACAGGCGTTTTATTTCTCATAAAGAAAATAAAAGTCTAATATGCTAAAAATTATAAATGTATAAACCATCGACGTGTTCAACTAATTTGCATTATGTTATATAACCAACTAGGAAATGATAGCTATACATTTAACCGACGGATTATATGTGATAATTAATTACAATAAATAAGAATTAGCTGTCAATATACATTTAAAACGGTCATACTAGAAATACCAGTATTATATAGGCTTGCTTACGAGAGACAATACTTTATTCTTAAACCAATCTAAAGCTTAATGAAGTTTTTCTTATTAATATGACCACCAAGCGTCTTTGCACAGTGATTTCGAATTAATGATTACAGCTGTCTGCTTTCCACTCCATCTATCGGAGGTATGCCATTAGTTATCGGCGGCGCCACAGTGAAGGAAAGGAAGCCGTCAACATCGTGCATTTCTTTGGATGAAAATTTAGCTGAAATCTGGTGTCTGCCAGCCCATGGTGGTGTGATCTTGAATTGGGCTGTTGCAAATTCACCTGGTGGTACGTTCTGGAATTGGAAATGGTTTTATAAAACTTGCGAGTGCACCAGGTGGCGGTTTTAATACTGCAATTCTTTTGTAAATTCGCTTCATTTCTAACTACTTATATATAGAAGTTCAAGGTTATTTGATTACCTGACCGTCCATTGATAAGAAATCTATTTATTTTGAGATGAATTAAAATGAAATGTTAAACTCACCTTTGAGGCTAGATTATTTAAAGATAGTAAAATCTTTATTTTTTCTTAACCTTTTTCCAATATACTATAATTAGAAGCTTGGACTAATTCTCACCTGGTCCAGTTCGATCTTAAGTTGTTGATCAAGCCCTGGTCCTTGTATGTAGAACTTGGCGTTTTTCAAAGGTATCGGCAAAGGATTTTCCACTTTAACATTGACAGTAAACTCCTGTTTAGACACCGGTTTATCCTCGATTGATATCTTGATATCCGGATTCCGAACTCTGAAGTCGTCTTGCGCAAAGTAATCGAAGTTTTTGTCGACTATTGTTGCGAGACATGCAATGTTGAAGGAAGCCTGTAAATTTATGAACCTTTACTAAAATTTACTTATTTCTAATATTAATAATAAAGCGGTTATTTAAGTGGTACATTCAGATTAATTAATTAAACCCAATAATAAAAAACCGCCAAATGAAATAGGCGTGCAAATCATCAAATGTCATATTAATTATCATAATGACATGATAATAAGTACAGTTACGATATTTATAATTATTGTCAAAACTTATGGTCTAAATACTCTCCCACATTCTAAAGGCACCTTGCCTTTAAAAATCTAATTACTTTCCCCTTGAAAGCATAATAAGGCAATGATATGTATCTTCTATTTAAAATATTACAATACAAAGCCTTTAATGAACCAAGAACGTTAATAAAAACAACCTTTATTGTAACAAATATACATTTTATAAACAAGACTAACTATGACAAAATCACTTTTAAAATCATTCAATATGTCTTTACAACCGTCATGTCATGACAAACCAACCTGATCCACCAACTTCTTGTAGTAATCATCAAAGGTGACACGCAATGTTATACGTTCTTTGCCCTCTGGACCCAGCACCTTATCGAACTCCTCTCTCTTCACACCATCACCTGTCACGCCAGTATAAGTGACCGTGTCTACTCGGAGTACACCCTTCACATTATGCTGGTCGACGATGGACCGATTCTTTATATTTAATACCTGGTAGGAAAATATATAATGAAATAGAGTGCCTTAAACGAAGAATACGCTTAATCGAATGACAGGAATTTGTATGGAAATCCTGAACAGTGCTGCAATATTGGGTTTTATTGCCGTTGAAGCCACATAGAAATTATAAATGAACTAGAATAGTGCGTGCTCCATGGATTTACAGGACCTTCTCTTATTTCTCCTTGTTTCATCACAATACTTACGACTGTGAAATCCTGTCCAATCTTGATATCGTCTCGTAGTTCGAACTCGAAGATAACGTCATTGAAAGCATCGTTTAGATAATACCTCGCGAAAATACTCTCCGATTTACGTAAAGCCTTCTCCATTGTCAACCGCTCCTCCCGCGTTCGTTCGGGGTATTTGTACAAGTTTGTGATGTCCTGTAAAATTACATCAGGCGTTAAAAATTAAAGTGCAAGCGGCAAGCAACGTTGTTACTATGTAAAGTATATTGTAACAAATATAAGCTTTGTTTAATTAGTTTGATATCTATTGTTGTAATGGCGGCTTTATCCCTTTGAATTAAGGTCTATTTTACATTGCACAAAAAATCAAATTCATTTGAATGAATTTTTCTTTGGCAAAAACATGGGAGTAAAAATTACGCTCCTACTTTGAAGAAGAATCAAAATAGTTACCTCTCTCTCCATTTTTCCGATTGATTTGGTTGAAATATTTTGTCCAATCGATATTGTATCCCTCGCCATTAATTTCAGAGGCTGTATTTCTCCTGAATATTTCCATAGCACCTTAAAATAAAAAATAGGCTTATTGTCGATACTGAACCTATATTGCATCGAAGTACATAGTTGTTCCTTCACCCCTCAATGGGGTATTGTGCAGTTACGTTACTATAATAATTTGTCTACCCGAAATGATTGCTATGTCTTCTAAATCAAACTCAGGATTTCCGGGTGTCACTGAAGCGACAAGATGTGTCGAAGATCGAAAAACTCAGTATTGTATCGCGCAGCCCCGAAATACAACGACCACTATTTAAGCCTTGACTTGTTTATGCTATGGCGGAATATGCGTATTAATATCCGTAGCGCTAAATCACTTGTATTATTATTTAATTATATTAAATTATTGTTGTTATTATATCGTTCAATTGGTGGTTTATGTATAAAAACCCAACAAAGATCGGCCAATTGTTCTTCTTAAAATTGTGAAGACCCTTCGCTACGATGTAGATTCGAATGGCTTATTTAAGGGACCTGAGCATATTCTATACCTTATCAGCGTTGACCTGTGCGAAAACATAAGCTGCATCATATGGCCTTTGAAGTTCTCCATCACGCACTGCCCTCAGAGAGGCAGGCCCACATCGGTACACATCTTCAGACGTCTCCTGAGGTGTCGAGTCTATCGCCTGCCACCCACCATACTCAGGGCCTAGGTCGGGTCGTTCCATCCACACCTGGAATTTATAAACAAAATAATAAAAGAGGTTCAGTCTTGTTTTAAACTAAGAACCGACATTTGGTTTTAATGTAGTAAAACGAAAATGATCTTTAGATAATATAAACATTCAAAATGAAAAAGTCAAAATCATTCTTCCACACATAACTAATTAATATAGAGTACAGTAGTATTAAGAAAAATATCATATAAAAAGACAATATCACGAACTTTCGCAATTTTCTCATGATGGTAAAAACTTAATAGATATAAAACTGAAATCTTTTCTAAAGACATCTTTACGATTTGGCCACCGTAAAGACAAATAAAATTAAAAATAGCTAACCTCATTCCACACATGATAGTTCCATACTGAATCTCTGGTGAACTCTTCTAACGTGTTCCCATCTTCATCCTTGATTATGTCAATTGTCAAACTACCCTGACTGTCATGCGCTGCGTCATATCCAGTGACGGATCTACAGGGTATACCCAAAGCTCTGCAAACTATATAAACGTTTTTAATATTATCCTGAATATATATTTCATAAAACCGTGGAGCATAAGTCATAATTGGCGCCGGCTTTATTGATATTTCTCTTCAAAAGAAGTAAAAGTTGTGTCAGTCTATCAAAGCCTGAACATTAAACTTATACGCACATCACATACCAAATAAGTCACGATGACGGAGATTTATTTATCGCAAACAAAACTAGGTTCTTCTTGCTTAAAGAATCATGCACCAAAATCTATATACTCGTATATATGAGAAAAATGGTCTTCGTTTGAGGCTCCTTCACGCCTAAACCACTGATCGAATCGACGTGAAACTCGCATTCGATTCGAAACTTTTCCTAGATGGTTTATGGCTATTTATTTTTTAAATTCCAACGTTCCTTCATTTTTTATTGCTGTTTTACTTTTATCAAAATTTATTCACCGCGGAATCATTCGGAGAGGCTTCCTAGAACCTCAAAACGTCAATTCTGTTAAAAACTCGATTTTCGAAAATTTTCAATTTTCTTAGCGGGAAGTAAAAAAGAAGAATAATAAAAATATGAAAAAATAATAATAATTAAACATAAAATTTTATTTATTTCCTATTTGAATTCGCCCAGCAAAGCGGGCGGGAAACGGCTAGTCAATTATATAATTATTACACACGTTACAATAAGTGATTTTTTTATACTTACTTGTCGTCAGAACTCCAGCATAAACCCAGCATTGTGCGTATTTCACTGGCTTCTTTTTTGAGTAATATTTTTGCAATATGTCCAAAGAACCGACCCATTTAAGAGGATGATTACCACCACTGTAGTCACTTAGCTCCTTGCCCCAATTACCAAACAATACTCCATTATCATCTTGCACGTTTACTGCAGCGGACAGCGCGCGTGCAGTTCTGATGGGATCACTTCTCGCTCGACCTTTGATCTGTAAAATA